AAAAAAAAAAAGAAGTTCACTGTAACATTACTCAATTTTTGTACATATTTAAAATTTTCTATAATAAAAACAATTTTTAGTGTGTCTTTGACAGCTCAATCAGGAGAGAACGATTTTCTAGCCCTGTACAATACAGCTGTGTCATGTGTCTTTCTTGACACTGCAGTGCAAGTGGGGGCTGGGGTGGAGGCTGGCTCAGGCCCTGCACCATGGTCTTCCTCCCTCCCAGGCATCTGGCACCTGTCCCACATCTAAAAGGGCCCAGCAAACACGGGCCTAGAGACACTGAAGTTCAAACATAAGACTAATTAAAAGCTAAACTGCAAAAGAATACCAGTTTTAACAAAAAAATGTACAAAGTTTAAAAGGATACATGCTCACCTATATTTTCTAACTTTCTAAGATTAATACATTATTTGTGTAATAGAAGTTATAAATAGATATTGCATATTTATGGTGTAAACATTCCTTAAAGTCTTTATGTAAGAATTGTATAAAGAGAAAAGGTTTCAGAAAGGAAAACACTTTATACAACTGTAAGATCCACAGAAGATACGACTAAGGTACTGCAGTTCTGTACTCCTGATACACATGTTCTGCACTCCTCACAGACACAGCCTAATGTCAACACTCAGTAAAGAGAACTTAAATGACAAGTCACCTGCCAGGCTAACATCTATCATGTTGGATAATTCTGAGCATCAGATTCCCATCTTGGAGAGTGGGATTTTTGTTCCATTTTCTTGTGCCTACTGAAAAGATGTGCTCAGACACTCCTCTACACTAAGTCCTGGTGCAGGGGAGGGGAGACAGGTGTCCCCTGCTGAGCCGCCTCCCAACCACGCTGCACTCACACCCCTAGCAAGACCCCTAAGCTCCTTCCACCCCAACCCAAGGCAGACAAAAGCAGAGGCAGGGGCAGGGTGCTGGGGCGGAGGGACACCTCTGTGAAGACCCTTCCACACATGGCAAGAGGAGAAGGCTCCATGCTTACACTCCAGAAAGTCTGCCAGAGTCAGAGGAGGAGGATGAGCTGCACCCACCGACACTCTGCTCTAAAACTGCCAGTGGACCATGGAAGGATTAAATGCAAAGTGATTAAATGCTAACGAAGACTCCTTCAGGAAAGGCAGTTTTCATTCTGATTAGGGCAGAAAGGACAATTTTATAACTGGAGGGTGGGATGAGCTCAGGAGGTTCCTGAGGGGTGGAGGGAGGGAAACCAGAGGTGGGTCACCAGTTCAAAGAAGTAAGCAGAAATGGGACAGTACTGCCCACTTTGCCATGTTCTAAATCTGCCCCTGGGATGGGCGTGGGGAGTGCAATGGTTTCTGGAAACTTGCGAACCTCAGCATCACAATTCCACCCCATCCTTGTACTCCATGTACTAGTCTCCCACTCAGTTCTTACTTTCTGTCCCTGAGAAAGAGAAGCACCCCCCACACCAGCCCATTCTGCAGTCAGGTAGAACATGTAAGTCATTTCTACATTCCCAGACATCTGCAAACAAATGTCAGGGCCATGTCTGGGGAAAATGGATTAAAACCTCAATCCAGCACGAGGCCACCCAGAAGCCCAGCCCAGGCCCTGTACCTGGTAAATGGCTTCATCACATGCATTCTGAAGGCCCAGGTTCACCATCGTGTTCTGCAGCGTGCGGCCCATGTAGAATTCCAGGGAAAGGTAATAAATACGCTGAAGAAGCAAAAGAAAAGATCTTAGATTTCTCATTAGATTCACAAAGTACCTGCTTAGGACTTTCATTTATGCTGATCCCATACTCACACCTCACGTCAGGGAGCCGTTGCCAACCTAAGCCCTCCAAGGCGGCCCACCCAGAGCACCCCTTCAAAGCACAGTGGTCTCTTCCCCGGCCTTCCGGAGCTCCCAGGTGACTGTAAACTAACTGTCCCTGGTGTGTGGGGAGGCTCCCAGAACTGGACAGATCCAGGTCTCGCTTAGCTGGGCCTTGTACCACTGCATGCCCTGGGCAAGCTACCCCCTCACATCTGTGATAAGGAATAAAACGGCCCCGCAGGGTAGGAAGTATTTTCCAGTATTAAACGTGAAGCCTCAGCACAGCTCCGACACACTCGTCCACTACTTGGCACGCGCTGGCACAGTCAACAGAAGCTGCTCTCGACAGAAGCTGCTCGGCCAAGTGGGCGCATCTGTTCCCACGAGGCAGAAGAGTGTTTCGTGCCTGTTGCCTGCTGCTGGCCTTGGGGGCCACAGTACATGCCAGCTCCGTGTAAGTGAAGTGCGGTCACCAGGATAGCCACTGCATCTGGCCCCTCCTGGGCACCCAGCAGGGCTCTAAGAGCCCCCATGCAGGCTACCATGAGCTTCTGACAACCACCACTGAGTGCTGGATGGCAGTGGCCTTCACTCAGAGTCCTTGCTCTCAACACACCACTCCATGCTGCCTCCTGCCCAGCCATCAAAA